CCTAAAAGAAATAATCCACAATGCCTTTCAAAATAAAATGGTAGAATACGCTATAAATTCTAACTTTGGGATACCATAAGGCATATTTTGTTAATAGCGAACAAAAGGGTAACACATGCTTCACAGAGGAACAAGTGATCAGTATGCTGGAGTTTCTTATCAACACCATTTTTGTTGAATTTGGAGGTAGACTTTTTCAACAAATTGTCAGCATTCCTTTTGGGACGAACTGTGCGCATCTCCTTGCCGACCTCTTATTATTTTCATATGAATCGGAGTTCCTTCAGACACATGTCAAAAACAAGAAGATCAAAGAAGCCAGATTATTTAATTTCACTTTCAGATATATTGATGATGTTCTTTAAATTAACAATCCGAACTTTTCTGATTGGGTTCCATTAACATATCCCCAGAACTAGAAATTTCCTCCGCCTCATTATAAGACTTATACCTCGAATTTCACATGCACAGTCATCTCAGTACCAGAATCTATGACAAACGAGACGATTTTAGTTTAAAAATTATCAATTTCCCCCACCTTAGTAGCAATATACCAACTTCACCTGCATATGGGATATACATTTCCCAACTTTTTCGGTATGCAAGAGCTTGTGGCTCCTACTCAGACTTTGTAAAACGTCACCAGTGTCTGAGCAGAAAGAAAGTTGATGAATCAGAGGTATGTCAAAGAACGTCTCGTCCTTTTTCTAAAAAAAGTTCATCGGAAGGTACCAAGACCTTGTTGATAAATATTCCGTATCAACTTCACAAATAATACATGATGGTGTTGAAGTATAGATTTTACGTTCTGACGCTGTTTATTATCTTAATAACGTGTTAAATGTTTTTATGTGCTGATCTAGGTTTTTTACGTATTCATTTTTATTCTGTAGTTAGTCACCACTTCGGTCTTAACATCTATTATATAGTCATTTTTATAAATTTACTGTTTGCAAAAGTATGAATTATTCTAAATACTAAGGATTTTCTTATCCCAGGCATATAACCTAGGCCGTATTTGGCACAACTTTTTGGAACTTTTGGTCCTCAATGCTTTTCAACTTTGTACTTGTTTTGGCTTTCGAACTTTTTTAATCTGAGCGTCATTGATGGGTCTTATGTAGACGAAACGCGCGTCTGGCGTATTAAATTATAAGTCTGGTAACTTTTGATAGCTATTATTTGTGTGTGTCTCTGTCTTGTATGTTCTCCCATTAATTTGTATTGTAGTCCTGTCATGTAATCTTGTCATTTTAATGTTATATTTAACATTGCCATAAAAGCGGGAGGTTTGGCTAGCCACAAAACCAGGTTCAGCCAACCATTTATTCTTAAAATGTCCTGTACCAAGTCAGGAAAATGGCCATTGTTATATTACAGTTCGTTTCTGTGTGTGTTGCAATTAAGTGTTGTGTATCTGTTGTGTCGTTGTTCTCCTCTTATATTTGATGTGTTTCCCGCAGTTTTAGTTTGTAACCAGGATTTGTTTTTTTCTCAATCGATTTATGAATTTCGAATAGCGGTATACTAATGTTGCCTTGATTAAAGTGTTTTTTTACAATTTGCCAAAGCATAACTTGTAATCTCTTACTCACCATTCTCACAATAGTTTGGATGATATTCTGTTGTGTAATTTCGTCGTTGAAAGACGAAATGAGGTTCCAACTTCCCCAGGCAATGATCACCCCCATAAATATGGCAGTTTTTATGTCACTTTTGGTCATATATTTTCTACGAATCTATACATCCATTTATTTAACACAAAACCTCCTCAAAGATAACTTCATACAGGAATTTAGCCGTTTAATCTTTTGAGAACCAAACTGTTCGACTTTTAACCTTTTTATTCACATGAATGACAGTACATGACAGTTTTACTACATTACTAAACAAAGGAAGCTAGCTTAGATTTTCTCTAATAATTCATAACATTTTTCAGCACCCTATATCATGGAATGTCAAACCTTCTTGATAGAAACTTATGTAAATTGAAGACCAAATGTTGTTTTTACGTTTTTGATATGCATAACAATTTATGGACCTATTTTTGTAAAATTATTTACATGTAAGATATTTAATGTATATCGGTTACCTTGCTTTTTATCGTCGAGCAACATGATGATCATCATTCCTAAAATACGTTTTGTGAGCACTGAAATTTCTATCTTACTTTCTATTATACGTTTAATGTACAAAGTCAGGAATATGGCAGTTGTTATCAAATAGTTCGTTTCTATGTGTGTTAGCGTTTGTTTTTGTTGCACTTAGGTGTTCCTGTTGTTCCTTTGTTTTCCTCTTATACTTGATGTGTTTCCCTCGGTTTTGGTTTGTAACCCGGGTTTGTTTTCTCTCAATCGATTTATGACTTTTGAACACCGGTACACTACTGTTGCCTTTATTTAATGTGATAATTGGAGAGATTGGCATCATCAAAAATGAAAACAACACCTTATATATTTCATGCATCTGAAGCGCTTTTCTAGATTTACCTTCATCAGGAACGGTAAAAGCTGAGTATTTGAAAGACATAAACAATGACCAACTCAGACAGTTGCTATTCAAAGTACCTAGATCTGTATCTATACATCCCGTCATTATGTTATTGTGTTATGGACTGATTTTGTATTCTGGTCTTTCATTTTTGCTTATGTGCTTTGTCTATTGGGTGCCTATATGGCATTATGTTTTTTTGTTGACATAGTTTTTTTTTTTTTTTTTTTATAGTTATCAAGTTTATAACACAATGTTAACTGCTGTACCCCAATTTCTGACATTTTTTACCTTTTATGTTTGTTGGTTTTGTTCAACCACTGTTGTCAATATAATGGAATTCTATGCGACTGTCATACAAGTGAGAGATTCAGCCTGCTATAAAACAAGGTTTAATCCACCATTTTCTACATAAGGAAATGCCTGTACCAAGTTAGGAATATGTCAGTTGTTTTCTATTCTTTTGATGTGATTGAGATTTTGATTTTGCCATTTGATAAGGGACTTCCCGTTTTGAATTTCATTGTGAGTTCGGTATTTGTGTTACTTTAATTTTCATCGAATAGGGTTTTATTTGCCTAAATTTGATTTGTTTTAAAATATATACCAATACGAACAGACAGACAAGTTGTTCAATTTAATACAATCATTACGTCTTTTTTTTAATAAATTTAGAACTCTTGCACTGAATTGTAGTAATTCATGCAGAAAATGGAAGCCTAGTTGCAAAATTATGATACGGATGAGAAAATAAGACATTTCATAGACGACATCAGTGGTGAAGCATTTTGAACGGTACAAACATAATGAAACATTATTTTACGGGTGTTAAAATCTCGTACATCGATTAGAAAGAGATAAACTAAGGTAAAAAAAAACTGAGATAAACCGCAGAAATTCCAAAGGAAAAAGTATGTCGACAGAGTAAGAGTCCGCTATGTGTGCGTCACCCGTCATACGAACCCGCAATAATAAGTGTCAAACTTTAAAATTTAATCAGAACACAATCAATAAAATAACAAAACAGACTACCATACTGCTTTCTAAAAATCTAAGACTGCGAAAACCTGTCGCTAGATGAAACGGACGAAGTTTCCATGAAGGTTTGTGTACTTTAAATCATGGGCTCGGGCATTACTGATCATTTACCATGTGTAAACAGCTTGATCAAAACAGAATTTATGAGAACAAACTTCATGTGGCAGATAAAATGATGGAGTAGGAGTAGAACATAACGAAATCAGAATCAGCAGTTTTCAAACAAAACAAAAGCGACATCAAATCTAAGGAAAATACAAACCCCTCTTGCCCACTTCTAAAAAACAAAAATATAAATAACCCGAAAATTTCATGAAGACCAGGTTTTGTTTCTTAGATTGATAACTGCAATTATGATCCAAACTCGTCTCAAAGGCATTTTATCAAAATTATTCTAATTAGGAATTTAAATGAACGCATAAAACAAATAAAAATGAAAATTGATTTTCGAAATGGCATTGATAAATATCGGGAGTCAATCATTTGAATGCTTTTGATAAAGCTGAGGAGCCGGATTTAGATGAAAACAGATTTTTCTGGATGCAGTTTTAAAAAGTTCGCGGAATAGTTTTGACATCCATCAACAATTAAAATATTCTTCCGTTTAACGACGTCTGATGCTGAAAAGTTGACAATAGAAGTAAATCCCATAAAAAAAAATTGCAAAAATCTTGCAAAAATGGATTCATGGTTATCTATAACTACAGGCTCTTCAAGTTATGTTCATTGATACAAAGATAAGTTGAATTTATTCTAAAACGTGTATAGTTTCGGCAACAGATGGTAAAGATGTTCATATGTAACCTCGTACGAACATACAAAATCAAAATACAGACGGAAATAGTATGTACTTCAAAAAAAAGGAAGGAGAACGGGAGCGAGACCTTGGTATTGTGAGCGTCTCTTGCTATGCACGCATCATCCACCGTGCAAATACACACTTTTTTAAAATGTCACAATTGATCGTATGACATAATTGGTAGATGTATAGGTAGGATGACTCGTATGTAAAGATATTATAACGTAAATACATGTCGAAGTGAGTTGAGACACATATCAATCTATTGGTAGTGTTGTGCTTAAAACCTGTGAAGTGTCCAATTTGCTTTCGAAATTATTCGGATTAACTTCGTTGTGCTGGTTTTGGCTATACCTTCTATGCTTTTTTGTTTTATCACCTTATCAGCTTGATATTTTTTTTTAATAGACTCTGTTATGATTATTCGAAACTTTGATTTCCTTTTGAAATATTCATTTATTGTTACTCTATTAAAATAAACTATAGAGCGATTTAGATCTTTACATAAGATCTTAAAGTTTATCACTAGTTGAAGACCGCACTTTAAACAACTAAATGTCTTTTATGTTTTTGTAGTGCTGTAGAGGCTTTTTAACATCTCTTTTTATTAATGCTAAATACTATTAGTAATAAATATAAAAGAGATAAAAAAGAAATATAATTGTTGCGGGGCAAATCTTTATTAATGAACTTTATCTGTATAATTATGTATATGTGACACAGCCTTGACTAGTGTATGAGGGTAGTTTACAAAAATCACGGACCGTAGTCTGAATTTAATAATGCTATGGATTCATCATCTTCGGGGACTTTGTTAATATTCACTTCACCTGAAAATACAAAACACAATAATATTAAATATGAAACGTCTTTGTTTGTATGCATTGACATTACCGTATTTCTGTCCATTATATTACTGAGTACTTGTAAAATGTTCTAAAACGTAAATGACAAAAATACCGAACTCCAATGACAATTCAAAACGAAAAGTTTTTTATAAAGTAAAATTCCGTTATATTGACAACAATGTGCGAGGAAAACAAACAGACATATGTAAAAATGTAAAAATTTGGGGTACAGCCGTCAACATTGTAATGCAATCTTAATCATGATAAAAAGAAATAACTATTTCAACAATGAAAAAACAAAATGTCATATAGACACTCTATAGACAAAGTACATAAGAAAAGATGAAAGACGAGAATACATAACTGATCATAGAACAATAACGCAATGGCGGGATTTATAAGTACCGAGCTACGCCAAAAGTATATTACCAGAAAATGGACTAAACAGTAAACTAAACAGTAAAGGTTAGAATGTACAAGGACCAAACAAAAAAAAGAACAGTAATACACGTAATTAAGATGATAAACAAAGTGAGTATTAGAATCTATACTTCAAGATCATCATGAATTATTTGTGAAGTTGATACGGAATATTTATCAACAAAGTCCTGGTATCTTTCAATGAACTTGTTTAGAAAAAAGGATGAGACGTTCTTTGACATAACCCCGGCTCATCAACTTTCTGCGCAGATACTGGCGACGTTCTTTGAAGTCTGAGTAGTAGCTGCAAGCTCATGAATACTGAGTTGGGAAATGTATATCCGATATCCTAAGTCAGACATTTGAAATAGCTTTAAACGCTCGACTGTGCGACGACCGTCAATATTGAATTAATAAAAGACAGACACTATCTAATCAGAAATAGAGTCATTACAGATTTTTTTTTTCCCTTTTGACAATTGACATTTGCAAATCGTTGCAACTAACGTGTTCAATGCAATTTACAAGATAATATTTTTTCACGGTAATAGTTACCCATTTTGATATGATTTTAAGGTAAAACAAACCATATTTTTGCACCATTAATTTTTTAAAACTGTTACTGAAGTTTACATTTATAATATTGTCAACCATTAAGAGAGTGGACGCAACATTTTTACATCGTAATGTCAATCATTGACCATAGCATAGTAAAGGCGTACATCATATTGTCAATCATTGAGACTAAGTCACAATTGTATGATTTTGTATTGTGTTTTTATAAGGATGCATACCTTAGTATGGTGATCCTTTTCCATAACCGTAACCACCAACACCGACAGATCCAACTGAAACTGGGACTGCTCCGACTGAAACTGGTCCGTATCCAGCTCCATAACCACCGCCGTAACCACCGCTAACAACAACTGGTCCTGTACCATACCCAATTCCTCCTTTGACTGGTCCATATCCAGCTCCAGATCCGCTTCCTACAACAACTGAACCCAAACCGATTCCAGAGCCATAACCTCCAGAAACTGGTCCATATCCACTTCCAACAAGGACTGCAGACCCAACTCCAGATCCAAACCCAGATCCATACCCAAGGCCATATCCACCACTAGCAAGAAGTGGTCCTGGACCGTATCCTCCTTTACCTACTGGTCCATATCCAACACCGGATCCGCTTCCTACAACAGCTAAAGTACCTACACCGGATCCGATTCCATATCCACCATATCCACTAACACCACCTCCTAGAATGAGTCCAGAACCAAGACCGTATCCAGAGCCGTATCCAGCACCAACAAGAAGTGGTCCTGGACCGTATCCGCCTTTACCTACTAGTCCATATCCAGCACCGGATCCACCTCCTAGAACAGCTAAAGAACCTAGACCGGATCCGATTCCATATCCACCATATCCACTTCCAACACCTCCTACAAGAATTGCAGAGCCAACTCCGGATCCATACCCAGAGCCATATCCGCCTCCATATCCATATGAACCTTTGCCAGAACTATAGGCAGAACTGAAGGCAGTCAGCAAAATGACGGCGAAAGTGAAATACATTTTGATACGGATCTTCTGTACTGCAAAGGAAAAAAAACGTCATTGGTTATAAATGTATTTAGTTGTGCAGAAAAGACTTATCAACAGATTATTTCATATCTACTCCCCGCTTTCTTAGTTAATGGAAAGTCAATAATATGAAAAAGTAAATAAATGCATTGCATTTATACTAAAAATAATGATAAACCCAATGCATGAAATAGTAAAATGGATTGTTCTGTTATAAAAGAAAAATCTTGTTCTGCAAATACCGATGCATCATACTATATCATTCAAAACGCATTACATCAATTTAGGTATCTTGCATTTTTTATGATGAAAAGAGGCGTAGAAAATTAATGAGACAGCAACAAAACGAAAAATAAACTTAGACATGAAGATATTTTCATGCGGTCTTTAACGACAGACAAATGTTAAAACGATATGTCAATTTCTAAATCACCCGACCTCTGCATAAATCAATGTGACTTTTTATGGTTGATACACTGTGTGATATTGAAAGGCTATATCATATATACTTTATCATATACTTCAGCAGATCTTTTACGTCTTAATGACGTATACGGATTTCGGGGTCTGATCAAGCCGTCCCAACCGTGACTGATATCGATAGCCTTGCTTGCACTAAACATATTATTTACTAGTTTTTACTACTAAGTATATAATAAAAATGTATAATGTTTTATCACAGTTTATTGTTGTTTTTTTTTCTCTTTCTCAATCTATCTTACAGCAAATCACAAACGTTCTTGGAACACAAGCCACACCCGTCCCTAACAAAAACTCAGTGAAAACGAGGACATTGTAAAATAATGTCCTTTAAGCTTGTACCCAACACCTTGACTAATATTAATTTGGCTCGTTTAATTTTCATAAAATTTTGACAAAATGTTTACTTTGACCCTTTGACAAAAATATAAAAATTTCAAAAAATTTGAACCAACCACTTTATCAGAAAAATTTCGTTGGTTATATAGCAGTTTGACAAACACTAATTTTGATCATTGAGAAGCTTAATATTTCCTTAACAATACAACGTAATTAAAACGTTTAGCTGATTTTTACAGAGTAATCTCCCTGTAGTGTTAGGTACCACCTTAATATATTGAATAACTTGGGGGTCTTTGTAAATGATCATCAATAGAACAATTGGTGAATGAGTATCATAGATAGTTTTAAGTTTGTAATATATATAGAAGATGATACAAAGGGGGTAAGTGATAAGAAGATGACAAAGCCATTGAAAAAAACCTAAAGACTGATCGAGCTGAACTGACAACGCTATTTGAAAAACCTAAAAACTGAATGAGAGGAATTGACATTGCTATTTGAAAAAAAAATAAAGATTGATCAAAGGAACTGACAATGTCATTAGAAAAACCTAAAGACTGCTCGAAAGGAACTGACAAGGCCATTGGAAAAACTCCAGAATGATCGAGAGGAACTGAAAACGACATTGGAATAACCTAAAAACTAAGAGATCTCTAATTCACGTCAATGAGACAGCAAACTCATGACAAAATAAACCCAAAGACATCTGTAGTAACACACTTATCAAGAATATAAAAGTATCTATACAATAAGTCAAATGTTCCGAGTAAATAAAAGTTGTGAATAAACACAACAGAACAAAAAAAATATCTGCAATCACTCTGCATTTTCTAAATTGAAAACTTTAACCGGATTTTTCCGTTGATTGTCAACAAAAAAATACTAAACTACATATTTTTACAAAGATGTTTAAACATGAACATGATTCAAGATAAGCAAAACATGTTCATTTTAGTTAATATCTTTTCGGATTATATGTAAAGCATCAAGTCACAGTCCCTATGCGTGTCGTTAAGTGTTTATTTTCAGGGGATAGCATACGTTTGGGGAAATATCTGTGTAAATCAGCGTTTATAAAAATCAGTTTCATCAATGCGTTTTAAGCATTCGTATGAAAACGTTCTGTGATACTTTAAGTTTGAGAGTGCATTATGAGAATTGTTAAAATAAACTTTCGAGCAATTTTAAGAGTTCTAAAACTTGAATAGACTGTTCAGGGCCCGTTAATATATACAATTTTTTAAACGACGTTGTTTCAGTAACTACAGTATTTCAGATATTTCATATACAATTTAATTAACAAATCCCTTTAAAAATCACAAAAAACCATACCTACATGCAAAATAATATCTAATTTTTAAACTTACAATACCACACAAAATTAATATTTCTTTCAGAATCGGAAAAAACTTACCTTACGTTAGGAGGTGAATATGAACTGTGCTGAGTCTGTAAACTATTCTTTCTTTTATACTTAAAGTTTCAATTAAAAAAGACTGATTACAAACCACAAAGTCAATCCATTCATGATAATGCATCATGATTGCATCACCTTTGACCTATGTTGTCATTCACATGATCAATTCTCCAACTATTATGGAATTTCATTAAGAAATACTAAAGAAACTACGATATATAATAATTATGCTGGTTGCATCACTTTTGTTTGCATGAAACAAGACCTTGCATGATTTCTTATAAGGTGGAAACTCACCCAGGCAAAACGTTAAAACGATTATAGATAGGACACTGCTTTATACCAGCAAAATATGTAGATGAGTAAATGCTAATATTTTGTTTCCGGATTAATCAACATACATGTACGTATCACAATGAAGAAAGATAAAGAATTTGCTTTGATATGTCATGCCTCGAGTGTGCAGTGATAGGTTATCTAAAAAAAACATTTTTTTTTACAAAAAAAAAAAAAAATAGAAAAGCTAAATGTTAAAATGAATAACAGATATGGGCAATTTATCATTAGACAGGAACCAAAAAAGAAATTGTAACAATGATGAATTTGTCAACAGGTACCAAATCTGAAAAATGCTGAAATGGACAAAAAGTATAACTATAACGTATCGGTCGTTGAATATATTGTTTTCTTAAATCCGTTATGAGTATCTTCAAAACCAAGTAATATAAACGATATGTTTAAAATCAAGTAATATACTGTGATTTTTATTTATAATTTTACTCGTGAGTATCAATTTTCGTTGATTGAGCGAAATTTAATGTTCGTGGGTTCTTAAATTTGTTGAAATCAGTTTTCTGAAGAAAACAATTTTTGGGACATTGCAAAAAAAGGTGTACATTTTCACTTACTTGTTCGTCTTTCATTACTGACAATATTCATTAGATTTTTAATTAAATAATTGCTTTTGGCAATAAGTTGGTTCATCTATGCTAACAAATTGTCTCGAATTAGGGAAATGCAGAGTAAACATTTTAATTTTTGCACACGTGTGATCAGAAGTAATGACGCTAATTGAACCAAGATCGAATGTACAACAGATTAACAATCACCAAAGGTGTTCATTTGGGCCATAAATTTGTAACTTCTTGACAACAGTGACATGAAAAAATGCTTCAAATGCACTTTGAATTGTAGAATTAATTCTTAAGAAATAAAAAAGCAAACCCTATATATTTTTTTTTGTTTTTTTGTATGAGATCTAGAGTTATGAGGAGATAAAATGAATACTTCTTTATTGCATACCATCACCGGAGATCTAACTTTCATCGATCAAAACTAATTTTTCGTGAGAATTAAAAGGTTAAACAAAAAACAATTCAGATTTTTTAAAGATTAAATGCCCGTATCCATGAAGTCAAACCTACATTGGGATCCAAGTCTTGATCGGACAACAGTTGTTATTTTTCGTTGGACACTTAAATTCGTGGATAAAGTCATCTACGAAAACCACGAAAATTGGTAGCCTACGGATAAAAGTACTTTAACAGACGACGATATGTTCGAGAGAGGTACAAAAATTATCCCAGTTTCATCGCATTCAACACTTTATGTGAGACGTCAGAAAACTATCCCAGTTTCATCGCATTCAACACTATGTGTGAGACATCAGAAAACTATCCCAGTTTCATCGCATTCAACACTTTGTGTGAGACATCAGAAAACTATTCAAATTTCATCGCATTCAGCACTTTAGTTTTTCCGGGTGGAAACACATTTCCACTGCCTTTTTCATTCTCCCAACGAGGTAAGATCTTTCTGCAGCAAGTCTGCATCTACTGTTCTCCTAATTAGTCTGAAGAGGAGACAATCATCAGCAAACAGTCGAGCGTTTGGTGTTATTGCTTCTAGGAGGTCGTTGATGTAGGCCAGAAAGTGTAAGGGACCCATCACAGTGCCCTGGGGTACTCCAGATACCACGTCAAAAGGGTCAGACTTGTGATTTTCGATAATCACAGACTGTGTTCTATTGAACAGGAACTGTCTTATCCATTCGAGTTGGAAACCTCTTACCCCGTAGTAGTCCATTTTGTGAAGCAGTCTGGCATGTGGTGCCTTATCAAAGGCCTTGGCGAAGTCTAACAGGATGATGTCTGTATGGTCGCTGTTTTCTGATGTGCATTTACTGATTTTGTATTATAGATGGATATCCCATATCCTCTGTTTTTCTATTATAGGACACTTATGACTAACAAATTAAGCCAAATAAAACTGTGCAGTGCAATAGATTAAAAGAAAAACGGCGAAAACAACAGCCGACAAAACTATACACACAATACATAAACTGAAAAACACAAACCTTAAAAAAGGGATGATGTCAGTTGTTCAGGAAGGGTGTTCTGTTATAACAATTATGAAAAGAAAAATAACAAAATACAGAACTCCTAGGAAAATTCAGATCGGAAAGTCCCTTATCAAATGACAAAATCAAAAGCTCAAACACATCAAACGAATGGAAAACAACTGTCATATTCCTGACTTGGTACAGGCATCAACATGGCATATAGACAAAGCACATTAGCAAAAATGAAAGACAGGAATATAAAAAATGACCATAGCACAATAACACAAGGGTGGGATGTATTAGTACCGAGCCACGCAAAAAGGATATTTCCAAAAATGGACTAAACAGTAAAGGTTGATAATTTACAAAGACAAATAAAAGAACACTATAACACGTAATTAAGATGATAAACAACGCCAGTGTTAAGAATCTGTACTTCAAGACCATCGTGTATTATTTGTGAAGTTGATACGGAATATTTATCAACAAGGTCTTGGTAACTTCTGATGAACTTTTTTAGAAAAAGGACGAGACGTTCTTTGACATAACCCTGGTTCATCAACTTTTTGCTAAGACACTAGTGACGTTTTGTAAAGTCTGAATAGCAGTTGCAAGCTCTTGAATACCGAATGAGTTCGGAAATGTACATTCCATATACAGTTGAAGTTGGTATATTGCTATTAAGGTGAGGGAAATTAATAATTTCAAAATTAAAATCGTCTCGTTTGTCATAGATTCTGGTACTGAGATGACCACTTATGTCAAATTCGAGGTATACATGTACGTCTCAAAATGAGGCGGAGAAAGCCGTGTTTCTTTAATTTCTAGTTCTGGAGGATATATTGATGGAACTCAATCAGAAAAGTTTGGATTGTTAATGGAAAGAACATCATCAATATATCTGAATGTGAAATTAAGTTATCTGGTTACTTTGATCTTCTTGTTTTTGACAAGTGTCTGAAGGAACTCATATGAAAATAAGAAGAGGTCTGCAAGGAGAGGCGCACTGTTCGTTCCCATATGAAAGCCGACAATTTGTTCAAAAATTCTACCTCAAAACTCAACAAATATATTGTGAATAAAAAACTCCAGCATACTTATCACTTGTTCATCTGTGTAGCATATTTTACCTTTTTGTTCACTTTTAACAAAATATGTCGTATGGTATCCCAAAGTATTAAATGTATAGCGCATGCTACCATTTTTATATTGAAAGGCATTTTGGATTATTTCTTTTAGACGATTTTCCAATAACACAATTCATTCCTACTACAAGAAAGACATCCTTATTCAATGACTTTTGAAATAAAATTGGATCAACCTTATTCAAAATTTTTGAATAGTGGATATACACCAGTTAGTGAGTAAATGTTACGCTTGATCTTACAATTCTGCTTGCAAATTATAAGGTTCAACACGCGGAAAATAAAATGAAAACCATTATAAAATTATGTAAGATTATATAAATTGTAGACTTTGAAGATACATTTTGAATTTTTAATGTGTGTTTTCAGTAAGCGAAAACCAAGTATCTGTTCATCCCTTAGAAATAATAGGCGTTGTTTCAGTAAAACAGTTTTTACTTAAGATATAAATTCATTTGCTCTAATACAAAAATTGGATATGGCACAAGTCAAATAGTCCTTAATATGAGGTCTTCTCAATGTAACATTATAAACCAAACAATACATAAAAATGTTTTAAAAGAGATATAAAAGCATTCAAATATTACATTTTACGTCACGTTACCCAAAAAACACACGATACCCAATATGATTCTATTTTCAAAATTTACATCAGCTGAACCAAACACAAACTCAGTTGGGGGAACATTCTGACAATTTCGACGCAGATTGTTTTAAATTGAATCTGCAAAAAAAAGCCGCTGTTCTGTCGTCATGGTAATTTGACCCCATATTATTATTGTTGGAAACCCCAAAAACAACGGTTTTCATCATAATGACAGGGGCTTTAAACCCCATTTGAGTGCATTAACATAACATATGCGCGTAAAGATCAGTATATTTGCATACAGCTATTTATCAAATTTACGCACTTTCAATAAAGTTGAACACAGGTAAATTTTATAAAAATAAGAAGAAATGATATTATTTCCAATAAGACAACTCTCCACAAGGGACCAAATGACACAGAAATTAACAACTATAGGTCACCGTACGGCCTTCGGCAATGGGCAAAGCCCATACCGCATAGTCAGCTATAAAAGGCCCGAAATGACAAATCTAAAACAATTCAAACGAGAAAACTAACGGCCTAATTTATGTACAAAATAATGAACGCAAAACAAATATGATACACAGGAACAAACGGCAACCACTGAATTACAGGCTCCTGTCTTGGGACAGGCACATAGAGAATGTGGCGGGGTTAAACAAATTAGCGGGCGCCCATCCCTCTCCCTAACCTGGGACAGTGGTGTAACAGTACAACATAAGAACAAACTATAAAAATCAGTTGAAAAAGGCTTAACTCATCAGATGGATACAAATGGAAATACATCTAACAAAAAAACAGATTGGACGTGGCAGGGTACTAATACATCCCCACAACAAAACAAACACTAAGTACAGATCTGACAGCTCATTCAAAGCCAATAACAACTAATAAAAAAAATCATTCATCTAAGACTAAAATATCAATTAATACACATCCAACATCCAATGGATTTAGTGTAAAGACGTCATTATCAGTCAAAGAAAAACATGACATTGTGCAATGTCAAAATACAGGTATCGGCAGATTGTAA